CCTCACAGGAGGATGATGGTTGGTTCTCTGAGTTTGTGGGTTGGTTTCTGAACATTTCATTACCAGGTGAGGTAACATCTTCAACAGAGTTTAGGGGATATCAGTGTCAGTGTTCTTCTGTTCATAAGGGCTTCAGATTTGTCGAGGGTCTTTTGGTTGAGTCTTGGGATGGGTCAGGTGTGATGATGAGGTTGCATCAGATGAGGTTTATTGGGATAAAAAGTGCTGGGGGGAGTTTCATAGGTTGGTTGAGGATTGATTCTTTCTCTGGTTGGCTGTGCAGTTGATTTGGATTCTGAGGGGTCATAGACTGGTTATAGGTCAATGTATCTGTTGATAGATTTGCTTGTGGAGTGTCAGGTTTTGATAAACTAATGAGTGTGGTGGTTGACAGTGTGGCTGACGATTTTTGTATTGCTCCAGTCGAACTGATGCTGTTTGGTGTCAGTGTGGGTAGAGATTAAGGATTTGGGACTGTCACATATGACTGTCAGCCAGTATTTATGGATTCTAGTTTTTAATTGATGTGATGTTTGTCCCATGTAGAATTGGCTGCAATGATTGCAATTGATTTTGTATATTATTGTTTCTTTCATCCTTCGATATCTTGTCTTTGGTTCTGGATAATTCCTGGTGGAGTGTAGCTATGGGTTTGTGGGCTATTACTATTCCTAGCGGTTGAAGAATTCTGGCTGTCATTTCACAGGGTTGTTGTAGGGAAAATAGGAGATGATGTGTTGGATATGCTCACTGCTTTGAGTTATTTGTCAAGATAATAAAGTATTTTTTAAAAATAAATTTATTTGAAAGGCAGGGATAATGCTTGCTGGGAGAGATTGTAAATAGAGAGCTAGGAGATATTTGGAGAAGATCAGTTCTTTCTTTTTAGTTAGATCATATAATTGAAAAACACAAATACAGGTCAAAGCAAAGAAATCCATGGATCTAGAACTAGCAGGCTGAAGAGTATAGTCCAGGTTGCAGCTGAAGCTCAAGTTGCAGGGTAATACAAGAAACTGAAGCATGTTTGGAGATAAGAAAGGTGTTTCCAACAATAAAAAAAAGGCTCCAAGTTTGCTTTTGTGCAGCCTCGGGGGCTGACATGGCTTAATGAGGGAGTTGCTGTCATCTCTTCTGAAGAAAAGCTGAAAGCCTCTTCTCTGGCATATTCTTGAGCTACAGGACCAGGCACTCTGTCAGGATTAGTCCCCTCATGATCTGAGTCAACCCCAAATGGCCATGTTTATTCCTATGGCAGCCACCTCAGATGATTCTCCCCCCAGCTCTTCAGGTTGATAGTCCATCTGCTCTGCCTTTTTAGCTCCAGCTTCAGAAAAGACCATAAATCTAAAGTCTTCACAGATCCAGAGTTCTGACTGGGGGAGACTTGGAGGCACAAATATATTTCCAGATTCATTTTTGTTGCTGGCTAGTGGTATTTTTGTATTTCTGAATATGTAAAGAAATCCATAGGAGCTCATCTATTGTATTCTGTATTTACTTTTATCATCAAATCAAGGAAAACCTGAGTTATTACAGGAGTAATATATATGCTGATCATTATTCTGTCATCGTTCAAGAAGTCCATTAAACATTTGCAGAAAATATCTGGACTTTGGCAGGAAAGCAATAAATGCTACCACCTAATTGCTAAACCTGCCCTTCTTTTACTATTTCATGAAGACTTTAATTTTCTCAGTTACAAAACTAACAGAAACAACACCTTCATAAAAATTTAATTGAGAACAACTCCTTAAAACTCAGCTGCACCTATTTTTAAGTAACAACTAGAAATTCAGAATTTAACAAATAGAGTGGCATTGTGGCTAGAACTGTCAACTATAGCTGGTCACATGTTTGTTTAGTATGGACAGAGGCCATTATTCTACCAGCTGCATAGGCAAATGGGGAGGAGCCAAGAGGGGATCAAATCAATGTATGTGAGTGATGATGTCAGCATCAGTGGTGGTATTCTACTAGTTTGGCCCAGTTCAGCCAAACCAGTAGCTCCAAGGATCATCTGTGAGTGAATCGGTTCACTCTGATGATCAGCTGCTGGGCCCGCCCACCCATCCTGGCTCTATTCTTACCTTTATTTCCTGTTTTTCAAGCTCAGCACATGGCACGGCAGATTGCTGCACATCAGCTGTTTTACACACATGGCTTGCAGAAGAAGGTGAGTTGCGCGCTCACACCAAACTGGTAGGGAAATTTTTTGAAACCCACCACTGATCAGCATGCCAATGATGCTGTTTATATATTTGAATTGGATATCATGATGTCATTATATAATTAAACCATTTGCTCAGTGATGTAATGATGCATGTATCATCATTTTGATTTCATAAAAATGAAATCAAACTTTAACAACTTACATGCATTGACATCTCAGTAGACTTTTTTAGAACACAATTCAAACAACTGGACTCCATGATAAGATATGAGAGATTTCATGAAATATCAATTGAAGAAAGACTGTGGATTGGTGGAGCCTCAGCACTGAAGACAAGAAACACATTCTTGTTGACTGCAAATTCTATCTCTAGAAAGGCTTGCTTACTTAGCCTTTGTTTAAAAAGTAAAAAAATATTGAAACACTCAAAATTATTTAATGAAACAAAACTCCATATCATCAATAAGATTTCACTTTTCATTTCAAATGCCATCTCAAAAAGGACAGAATACCTTGATCAGATTGAGATTAAATTTAAGGGTAATGATCTATGAATTTTTTTCTTTGTATCTATTTGTATTTTTGTATCAGTTTTATTTATTTGATACAGTTAATCGACTTCATAAAGTCTTCCTCCTCTTCCTCTTCCTCCTCTTCTTGCCTTCTTTTATTTTGTCTGACTCATTTATCTCTATCTTACCTGCTATATTTTATTCTATTTAATCTTACTATAGCTCTTTTATTTCACTTCTTTATCTTGTCTAATTTTATTATATTTTAATGTATGATGCTCATGCTTTGATGTGGTTAATTGACTAATCAATATCTTATCGACTTCATCATTGCATACTACAGATACTGCTTATCCGTTGTATTACTGTACCTGTAATATAAGGATGACAACATTGCTTTTCCCTTATGGGGCTATTATAAGGATTTTAAGACACAAGTCACTTTGGTCTCTAAAGTAATGTTATATGAATGCTATGACTTTATTTATCTACAAAGTCAATACCCAGCCAATATATCATACAGTATAATAGAATGGACCTAAAATAAAGTAATCTTTATTTCAATGATATGAAACAAGAAAAAGATGAAAAATAAAAAAATGGTTACTGCTTTTCTATATTTTTCCATTTCATTTCTATTATGGCATTGTTTTCAAAAAAAGTTTTCTGTGCTGCTTTTTAAAATATTAAAAATACATATTTGAAATTAAACTTTAAATAGGTCTAGAATCATACTGACATGATAATTTAACAGTGAATATACTACTCCAAAATAGGATTTTTCTTATTACAACTACACTGTCTTTTTTCTTAGGGGCCTGTATTTTTTTCATGATCTTCTTTAGTTGTCATTAATTCCTAAGCAATTTGGTTTTTTTAAAAACGGACAGGAATAGCAAATAAATTGTGATCCATCACTAATGATGTCATGTGTCAACTCGTGAAGCATTCCTGACCTGCTCTCGAGTTGCAATAGGCAAGGGGGATGGGGAATTGAGCCTCGCAGCTGCATCGAAGAACTTGCATTTCAGTCAAAACAAAGCACATTCCAGACAGCAACGTCAAGGTCATCTCCACAGAGACCCACAGTGACCAGAGGGAGTGACTTCTACAACCCGTGAAATTGCTTCATTGGGGAATGTGACTGATGGCACATCTTGGGGGGAGGGGGAAACAGGGTCAGAGCCAAAGCGCAAATTAAGTGAGATCAGAGTTGGCTTCACTTGGTCCATGCTGACATGACGCTCCTAATAAATAACTGGGTTTCTTTTGAAGCTTGCCCCAAGGCTCATGATTTAATTAAGGCATCGGTCGGAACCCTGACATCATGAGTATCAGTCAATTAATAAGTGTGCCATATTGAAATAATAGAAAGTATATATTATTCTGAGTTCATTTGCAGCAGTTTTTGTGATGTTGTAGATTGGAAAAGCAATGCTTTATCAAGCTTTATTTAGAAAAATATCCTCACTGCAATGTCCTTCTTTTTCAATGATTACAAGTCACATCAAAAATAAATTGCAGGCTAAAACAATATTGCATTGGATTCTCCTAATTAGATGTGAAATTTAGCCACTTAATTCTATCCACCCTGGGTATTTACTCTTCATTTCTTCTGAAATTCAATCTTCCTCAGTCTTCTGTCCATGTTAGAGCAGCATGACTAACTACATGTAGTGGCATATCTCAAAGACTTAACTTCATCCAGTGTATATTTTAGATTATATTCTACTTGTGAAGAAGGGGGCAAGTTAAAAACATGGTAGAATTAATGCTCTTAAATATAAATGAAACCTTAAATCTTCTATTAAATCTTCTATAATCTGCTATTATGGAATAGGACCTGAAATATCTTTTTTAACAAATGACTGTGGAATTAAAGACCTTAAGTTGTTTATACAGTATTTCCATGCCATTTGTTTTTTTATCAATAAAAATACATAAAAGCATGAAGCACATTTAAGCTTTTGAAATCAGTGGGATAAATATAGTTATCCTAGTTTGGATTCTGGCTTTACTGAAAGGTAAATAGTGCACGAATATGCCCATGAAATGACCAGAAATGGAACTCATTAAAATAAAATTTTAGATTAAAAAAATGAAACCTGGTTAGGGGGTTGCAGCATTTGGCTAGCCTTGGTTGATTTCAAAAAATCTCAGTAGAGTTCTCTTCTTCTCATAAGTTCTTTTAAACTGGGAGAAGATTAAAAGACAATGTTATTTGAAAATTCCAGTCTGGCTATCGACTATTGAAGCATTTTCTTATCCTATAATATACAAAAAGGAACAAACAGTTATACTGAATGAAAAGGGTGAACTTAAATCTATACAAAGACTCAATGGTTTCTTTATCTAAGTTAAATAAGTAAATGCCACAGTGCAGGTGTGATTGATTTGATTAAGAAGAAGAAACCCTAAGCTACATTAGGACTGAAGTTTGATGGCCTGACTTTCATGACAACAGACTTCAAAGAATACCACCAGCCACGCCATGTGTACCACACAATTCCATTGTCTGTCCTTGCTGAATAGGGTCCGTTATAGTACAGGCCATTCAGGTTGGCAGTATGGCATCTAGTGAAATAGAAAAAAAGAAAAGAAATAGAAGACATCTATTAGTTTCAAACAAAATCATAGCTTCCTCAGACTGTTTGCAAGTAGAAACTGTGTCCTATTTTTTTCCTACATACTGCATCTTAGTCCTTGAAGCCTGAGTAATATCTAGGACTAAAAGGGGGCCACAATTTCTCTATCTCCACCTGTTTTTGCTTTGGGGGATGCAGCTACCTCTAACCGTTTGCTACTTGCATGGATCCTGGATCTGAAGAGAATCACCACTTACTCATTGTCAAAGGACTATCTAGTAACAGACCAGAGATGGGATTCTACTGATCCTGACCGGTTCTATAGAACCCCTTGTTAACTTTCTAAGCAGTTTGGAGAACTGGTAGTTAGAAGCAATCTCCTTTTGTTTTTTTCCACCCTTATTATATTCTTGCCAGTACGCCTAGACTTCCTGTCTCTGGAGCTTCTGGGGCTTGACTTTCTTAAAGGGGAGGGGTTGTTTTAAGATTTTTGGGAGGAAATACTTCTCTGGACAATCAGCACTTTGAAGAAATAATTGAATAATGAAGCAGCGCTGTCAGAAAGAAGCTTTTAATGACGGAACCAAGATGAGTGAGATTCAGCAAGGCTTCTTGGCTAGCTAGGAAGATTGACATTCAAATGTGAATTTACATCCCTTTCTGAGTTTTGGTCTAAAACTGATTTTTGGTGAAGGTTAATTCTGTGCTTGGTGATATTTAATCCTGTGTTTATTGATAGGATAATTTTTCCTGTTCAGCCACAACAAGCAACAGTACTGTTGTGATTTAATTATTTGTATTATGTTTGAATTTTTTCCTGCCCCATGGTTTCTTTTTCTGTCTGGGGAGGGGCTGTTCCTTCACTGCTTTAGTGGCATCTGGCACTGTCCTTTTGGCGTGTACTTCCAAGAGGCAGGATGCAAGCTTGACACTGATTCTTTTTACTGCCTTTCTGGGGGGCATGTGACCTTTCCTTAAATCTGGATGATTTACTTAGGATATCTTGTGAGGTGAGTGATACCAGCTGGTGTCTTTAAGTGGTGCAAATGGATCTAAGGATTGCTTTTCCTAGGTGCGCTTTTTCTGGAGAGCTTACATGACCTCTCTGCCAAAGGGTGTCACTTTATGAGCAAGAGTTGGCTGCTGATAGTTATTGTATTTTAACTACTTTAATTCCTCAAGGTGCTCTGGCACCCTGCCTGATTTGTAACTCTGGCTTGCAGGTATTTTTAATCTAATGATTGGTATTTAGAGTAGCTTTTTGAAAGCAAAGAAGCTTTTTGTATTTTTGTACAGGTAATCCTTGATTTATAACAGTTCATTTAGTGACCATTCAAAGTTACAATGGCACTAAAAAGTGACTTTTGACTGTTTTCACACTTATGACCATTGCAGCATCCCCACTGTCATGAGAGGCCAGGCGAGGAGAAGCACCCCTTGACATGAGTGATGTCAAGTTGGCCACGCCCACCTAGTCACATGACCACCAAGCCACACCAAACAACTAAGCCATGCCCACAGAACCGGTTGTTAATAAAAATGGAATCCCACCCCTGCAACAGACCTAATAGAAATGTCACCAGCAAGCCTCTCCAGTCTAATATATTATGAGACTCAAGGTCTAAATCAATCTGATTATACAGAGATATACTATACTGACAATATCATCCTTATGATATATTTTACTTCATGTAAGGAAAGTTCCATTGATTTTCAGACAAATTCTGAAAGTTATTTCATTTCCCTCAAATATCCCAATATCCCAAGAAACCCTGCTTATTCCCTAACTTATTTCCTAACAAAACTAGTGATTTGCTATATTTTTGATGGTACCTAAAATCCACCCCATGATTGTCTTGATCTCCTCAGTGATCAGCTTGATGAAGAAATGGCCCATAAGTTAAGTAAGCAGCCCACTGCATGTGTGTGCTCGTGTTGTAAAACAATAATAGATACAAGACCATACAAAGCACCCAAAATGATCTAGTGCATCAATCATTTTAAAATATTGTCAAATATTGTGGGTTTTTTTCATGAAGTACAACTAGTTTAATACCAAGAATGATAAATATCTCAAACAAGTTTTCTGATATCTCTGGATGGAGGGTTCTGATTATAACCAAAATAGTGGCTTATGTTGCTATTCCATCTTTATCTCTTCAATAATTTCTTTTTTTGGTTGGAAGGGAAAAAAAAAAGAAATCCTGAAAAAGTGTTAGAACTACAAATGTAGTTTTATTTTCTTCCGTCCTACATTATATGAAATGGTTGGGGCAATATTTCAGTTTATATCTGAACATAAGAATTCAACAATCTTGTCTGGCATTATCCAGAGACGGCATGAGCATCATTTTAGTTGTCCTTTGAATAGATTCATCAAACCCTATAATCTTTTCTGGAGAAACTGCAGGAGTTTCTTAGGGATTACATCATTTAGTGTCTGTGGCAAACCACTGAATAAAAAAATGTATCTCCCTGCCTCCGGCCAATTAACCAAAAATAAGTGGAATATGTGGGTTATGTTTATTTGGATGTTTACAAAAATAAGGGAAAACCTCATAATACTAAATCAAAATATTGAAGTTACTGATTTAAAAGGGTTGCTCATGAAAGGACGGAACCAAATAATAATTTGGGAGGATGGAAATAGTAATAATTATGCCAGTAACTGCTGTTACAGAAGATGGAAAGTTGCTTCTAGAAATTTTTCTTTTTCTTTGTCTCTGTTTCTCATTTTCTATTTTCTTTTTTCTTTCTCACTTTAGGTTTGCTGTGGTTTTTAAACTTTTTAAAGTTCTTTTTTAATAAAAGTTATATAACTCTCCCTCAAAATATTGAAGATAGACAAAGCATTCTTCCATCAGCATGTGAAAAAGAGAAGAGAAGAAAAGAAAAGGAAGGGAAAGGAAGGAAGGGAGGAGAGGAAGAAAGGTAAAATAAAATCTATTGTAGGTTAGATATCAAAATCCAGATTAAGTTATGTGGGAGCTGCAAGATTTAAAAACATGAATTCTAAATTTAAATATATTTACAATATCATTTTGTACTGTATCCTCACTTCTTTTTTCTCCTCAGATTCACACAAAGATTTCAGGGACACTTAATTTTATTCCTTTATCAGAGCCCCTTTAAAAAAGATAAGTACCTATTTAGTTGTGCAGATATTTTTTCCAGTCAAGTTTCCATTTTATCATTCCTCTTTTTGCTTCCTGAATATTCTTTGCAATATAGCAGAAATGTAGCAAGAAAAAAACAAAGCATTTTCTTTCTTTGTTGGTTGATACAGCACTAATTGTTTTCATATTTTTTTGCCTGCTAATCAACTTAATCTGAAGAGAAAAAAATCATTTCCTGAAACAACTGGCAATAAAAATAGCCAAACTTTACAAAACCAATATGCTTAATTATGCTTTATGTCACCAGCACAATTTTATCAATTCAGACAACATAACTATATTGGCTATGAAAAGGGCTATATTAACAACAAGCTAAATACAAATAATGTGATGTATTTTTTTAAAAAAAACATAGACCATCTCACACTTTTGAAGTGTGTTAACACAAGCAAAGAGACCAAATCATAGGCCTTATTTGCTCCACTCCACTCTTCCCTGGGTAGCTTCCATTGAGAATACTCTACCCAGTTTTGGGTATTAAAGTTAAAAAGCAACAGGGATAGAATCCACAAGGAATGGAATTCAGGCTAGTCATTAAGAGGAACATCCCCATTTTTTCTCACAGAATATTCTCATAGAAAGTGATGTGCTCTTTTTAAAGAGATTTTCAGACAGAGGCTGAATGGTCACCTGTCAGATAAGTTCTAAATCTGTAATGAGGAACAGATTTTCTATGATGCCATGATTCTATTTACAAGTTACTAGCAGAAGTAGATGTGTCTCAAGAACAAAACAGGGTTGGATTTAATTAGTAGTTGGATGAGAAATCATTAGGAAATACTAAAGCTCTAAGCTAGACTGGAAAGAAGACATCTTGGGAAGAAACAGTTGTAAACCAGTTTTGTATTGTTGGACATGGACAAAACTACATAGTCACCAGAAGTCAAGCATGACTCAAACAGGAAGTAATGTTAAAAATAAATTACAAAAATAACATACTGTTGCCATTACAAATAAACACTAGTTTTGCAACTGAAGTCAACAATGTCTCTGACTATCACAAAAATGTGGGTGACAGACTATGTATAAGTCTCTAGAGCCTCAGGTTGCCCATCTCTGCAATAGTCATAATACAACTTGTTTGGTTTTGTACAGTGTGCAAACTCAGTGACTGACTGGGTTTACAATACACAAATTTATAGTTTGTTGTAACCACAATGCTAAACCAAAGCCTAACAAATCGCATTACCACTTAGGACAACTTGTGCCCTCGGCACACATTAAACCTCACAAGCCTTAATCTAGCTAGGCTTTATTGTTATGTTTTCTATTTCTCTGTTTTTAAAACTCTGAAAAAAGACTATTATCCAGTGATCTGATTTTTTAACAGGTAGGCATCTTTGACAAAGCAACCCAGGGAACTCCATTGTCTTTCCTTATGCATATGTGATGATGGCCTGTGATCAGTGCTTTTCCTTGTCTGTGCTTGCTGGTTTTGTTTCCACACAAACACTGCTCCATTGTTCACAACAAAAAGCATGTTTAAAAAAAAACAACAGAAAAGAACTGGAGAATTGGACAACTGTCATTCTTGCGAGCATAGCTGCATGGCACAATCTCCACATTAAATAATCGTGCCATTGGCTCTTAAAGAGATACCAGATCTCCACAGTATAATACAAAACTTCTGATTGTGCATATTTTGTCATTATGGGTTTACAATAGTTAAGTTAGGAAAATTTGGGAATTGTGGAAGTTATGTCCTCATTGCATCTGCTCAAATTTTTATAACAATACCAACCTAATTGCTATGAGATGAGAATAGGTTTGTGCAAATTATGTTAAATACTGGACTAATATTAAGCTCTATACA